TCTCCTTTTGAGTTTTTCCCCAGTTACTCTGTTCCAGAAGCTGTGTATCCCGAGTTTTGAGGCATCTCGGAGATTTTATAGACAAGAGGTAGACGGAAGCAGTTACTTCAGTTATGACATGGATTATTCTAAAGTATTTGGTTCTCAGAAGGGAGAAATTTTAATCTAGGAAACTTTTAACTCATATCTGCAATGCTTGTGACCACAAAGGTTATTGTACGTAATTCATACAATCATATTCTGAAGAGCTTTCAGTTCATTGTTTGCACCTGAGCCTTCGAATCTGGCGGAGGCATAGCCCTGATGTTACAGAATTGTTTTAATCTAGGTGTTTTATAACTTGAGGGTGCTCAACTTTTAGTAGTATTCTTTTAATATATTTTCTTTGTTTGTACTGTAATAAAAATAAGGATTTACGATGAAAACTTATTGCCTCTGACTTAGCATCTGTCTCTCTGGAAACAACATACCCTTAGTTTATAGCTTCATGCAATGACTGGTCAGTTCCTCCACAGGAGAAAATTTTCCTCAGCAGCACTCGCATCTAATCACTGCTTAGGAGAAGGGAGAAAACAACATTGCCTCATTTGCCACAGAGATTCATTTTTTTGAGAGCTGTAACTAATACTATTCTGTAGCTCTTTGAATGTGGACAGACTTTGGGGCACTGGTTTTGCCCCAAAACACATCTATAATTTGCATTAATACTGGTGTGAGGGTAAAAATACCAAATCTACTACACTGCAGCTTTCCTGTGCATAGAATTCCCATTAACTTTAATCGAAGTTCTGCACAACAAGCAACAGCAGGATCAGCACTCATTTTGAAAAGCAAAGTAATATGTAATGATTCACCACATCTGCAAAGCCTTCCTGACTTTTATTTATCATGCTTTTATTTTGGTAATCATTCTTGTCTCATCAGAATGGTTATTTAAACTTGTGAGAGGAATCCATTTCAGCATTATGTTTTAGCACATCCATTTGTATCCATCATAATTCTTAATTTAGGCTTAATAAAATAATTTAACAGTTAGTATAAATCAATTATTAAATAATTGATTTTTTAGCACAATAATGCACGGAGCAGGGGAATCAATAGCATTCATGGCCACAGCAAATTTCAAGTTACCATTCCTGATGCCTTTGATAAATCAATGGGCAGTTGAATTCCTACTAATTTGTTACGTGTAACTTGCTAAAAAATTACACTGCATGCAAATAAAGCCATTCTTTGAGTGCATTTCTGCTCTTATTCTATCCTGTGCTTGCTCCCCTCTTTGTCTCCTCAGGGCCACACTATTTAAATAAGCTCCCATTATTTTCAGTGGAATGACTTGCTAAAGGGAAATATTTGTGTCCCTTCACTGGACATCTGCTGTTGGTATGAAAGCAATCAAGAGGAAAAAATGATGGTATGAAGCACATTTAACTTTCACGCCTCTTCATCATTCTGCACAAGCAAACACCAACAAGAATTCAATCATATCGAAATATATGTCTCCTCTCCTAAAAAAGCAGAAACATTAAAAAAAAGAAAATGAAGAATCAGAAAAAATACTAAATAAAAGAAGCAGATTTTACATGTGAACCTTTCAACTTTGTAGTACCTCCCTTGACCCTCTATTACCATTTTTCAAAAAAATATTCAAACACTTCCAAATAAACAAATATGAAATAAATTCTACAAATTACTAACACACAGAGCATAATTTGAAGCTGTCATCATTATAACATATAATTTACTTATCAACAACTTTTTAACGTATTAAGGTAAAAACCTGCAGTCAGCACAGGTGGTGGTGTGAGAGGTTGTACTTACATCTATGCTCATATTCTGCCTCTCTGATGGATTCTGCATCACTGACTTCTGTGTCTGCCTGCTCAGAATTGCCTCTGATGAGACGGTATCACAGTGTTTTGCAACAGTATAAATTGTTGTTAAAGTAGACTTCATAAGAAAAAAAAAAAAATCAATTTTTTTTGTTGAACGACAAATACAAGATATAAAGTGCATTTCCTTCCATTCAGCTACAACTGTAGGAAAAAAAAAATCTTAGCTTATTGTTCCAATAGGATCTAATTTAATAACATTTCACGCATCTCAATATGGCAGTTGCATCCAAGTAATATAAGGAAGTTGTCTAGAGGTGCTGCCGACATGAATGCTATATTGCTAAGTAAGAGTTATTAATGAAGAGGCAGAAGGAACTCTAATTCCATCCATCAATTACTGTTTTTAAGACCCATGGAGAGAAACAAAGAGGCTGCATAGTTCATTTCTTCTGTTTCACAAACTCCTAATTAGCTGTAAATGAACTTTTGGAACAACTTAATCTTATGCTAAGGCACAGGTTCCATTATCTGATGCTAATTCAGAGCTATTGAAGAAAAATATATATGAGTGAACAAACTCAAGGGAAGCCTACAGGCAGAAATAAAACTAACCTAATATAGAATATGGCTTTTCAGTTGGCTTTTGCTTCTATGCATTTTTTGTAGAATGAACCCAAGATGTCAGAAATATGTTCTGACTGGAGACACCATCTGAAGGGCTCTCGCAGATGTGCTCAGTCAATGTTAGCACTGATGGCATCAGACTTTACTATTCCAGTTGTCTGCTTCAGTCCTCTGCCTTATATAAAGGCATCTGAAAAACAAACTTTTGTCAAGTATTTCTAGAGATTACTACTAAAGGCAATGTTTCACCTGCTGGGAGCCTGCAGAGAAACCCGTTTTGGAAAAGGGTTTATCTATGGAGAAGGATGGACTAAAATATTTTTAGCAGAAAAAATATAATGCTATAACTCTGCCGGTATAACTCAGTGTGTGTTCCTTCTATTATGTAACAAATGTTAATTTATTTTGGAACAATTACTCTGCCTTGGAAGACTGAGAAGTTAGCTTACTTCACAGTGCTTATCTCCTGAATTTTGATTCTTCTGGTCTCATTCCTTGACATGGTTGATTACAGAAGCACTGAATAGAAAGAACAGTAACTTGAAGTTCAAATGAGTAGGGAGAGGTAGCACAGTACAGAACTTTGAAGACAATGAAATTAAGCCTAAATTTGTAATAGAAAAGGATGTTAACCCAGATGAATGACAAGATCAAAGCAACGAGTGACAAAGATGATATTACAGTCGGTATTTGTACAGACTTTGAAGACTGAATATATGAATATTTGCAAGTATTTGCATTTGATCAATCCCGTGTTTCTGTTTCTTTCTGCTCCTGACCAATCCTATTCAGCCATACACAAATCTGAAGGTTATACATGCTCAGTTGGCATAAGTAGGTGTTTGTTTAACGGTATTAGGTATTTGAACTATTTTGCTCTCGCCTCCTGTATGTACCTCCTGATGATGTTGACAGAGACACAGTTAAGGGCATACACATTTTGGGAGAAGCTAAGAACTAGTAGGAAAAGAAGAAGAGTGAAGATAGTTTCTTTTACAAGGTATAGGAAGCTAGAAAAACTATTAAAAGCCATGTAATATATTTGAAGACGCAAAGGTGGAAAACGAGATGGCTCTGAGTGGAGTAATGAGCCTCAACGGCCCTGATCAGCCTCACCTGGGATCTCCACCCACACCCTCTTCCCAGTCATCCCAGGTGCTCCATTTCAGCTCACCCTGGGGGCTTCAGTCACTTCTGGAGCCATGCTGTAGGAACACAGGTCTCCACATGCCTGGTCACAGACTTTGTTCTCCGAGACCTCAACCTGTGGGTTGACTTCTGGGCTTGATCTTGGAGCTGTCTTATCACTGTGGATGTGCTTAGTGTTCACTGAACATGATCCTAATCCTGACACCTGTAGATTGTCTTCCTGGCTTCATTTCAGACCTGCCTCATCACTGTGAACTTGCTTGATGATGTGGAGATTTGGTTGATTGTGGCCATGCTCTCCTGGCCTGCCCTGCTGACCTTGCTGGGGCTGGTGGATCAGAAAGAGTTACTGCACTCAGTTCCTGCCTCCCCATCCCTTAGGGGGCAACTGACCCTTCCTGTTCCCTGCCAGAAAGTTCAAGTTTGAGGAGGCCTGCTGCTCACATATAATATATAGTGGTAAAATATTTCTAAGAGTAGAGTTAAGAGCCACAAGGCTTTTAAGACTTTGTAGATTGTTAAACACAATAGATTTCTAATAAAACCCTGACAATCAGAAAACAAGGCAGGATTTGGCTTGCAGATGTCAAAATGCATCAATCACAACCTGGTATGAGGTACATGTTCTTCCTTGTCCATACAAATCACACGTGTGGGTAGGAGACTATGTTGATCGGAAACTTTGCTTCCAGCAGAAGAGACAGCATTGCAAATAGAGTTAATTTTTTTGTGAGTTTACAAGCTTCTACCTGCCTAGGCTACGCTTTGTCTTACCCATCTTATTATAGTGAAGTGTGAGATTATGAAATAGATATTCTTCCACAATGCAGCTATTTGTTCTTGGGCTTGAACTAGCAGTAACCACCTCTGTACCAGTGCCACCTGTTGCTCCCCTCCTGACATTCAGATCCTAAAGGTCCCCCACTGTTTTCCTTGGACACTTCAGACCTTTCTCTCACTTCTATTTCAACAATTTCTGATTAAAGATTGCTTCCCTCTGCAAAGATCTGGATGTGTTTTCTCTCTCAAGTCCCAACTATGGTTTAATTATCAAGGCCAGGAGTGGCCATGTAGAATTTCCTCAGCTATCATAAAAAAAATATTCTTTTTCAACAGCTGGAAACAAAGAGGACTTTGATTTTTATTACCACCGAACTTTAGAGTGATCAAGTGAATAAGACAAGGTGTCCTTGGTACAAAACGTATCGGTTATCGTTGCTTGCACAGATCATTAGCAGTACCAAAAAAAAAAAAAAAAAAAAAAAGAGGTTTTTTTTTTTTTTTTTTTTTTTTTTTTTTTTTTTTTTTTTTTAAAAAAAAAAAAAAAAAAAAAAAAAAGAGCAGGCAGAAGCAGGCAGTCATATTACACATGACAATATCTAATAGGGAGCAGCCACAGTTGTGATTAGCACATCTCAGTAACAAATGAATGATCAGGGATCAGTTCCAGTGCCAGCAAACCACAGCAGCAATAAGCAGGAAAGATGATGAGCCTCTACTGAAGATGGAACATTTTGTATGCAGCAACTTTTGCAGTGGGTTTAGATTGACCTTAGATTCCAAGGCATTCTTTCTTGTTCCTCAGAGGCAGGAAAAGCTGGGGTATGGGGTGGACATGATCTTTTAAGGACACTACTAGGTCCTCACCCTGTGTCTCAAAAAAAAAAAAAAAAGGATAAAACGGGGGGGCATATAAGCACGAGAAGATTTATTCAGAACACTAGATTTATCACTGAAATCTTTCTTCAGTAACAAATTAAACCTTTACAGCATCTATGGACATAGATATAGTAAACATTATGAAATAGAATATAATTGAGTATAATGCAATAAATAAATCCTGCTACATAGATAAGTACACTTTTTCTCTCTGTCAAGCTTTTGACAAAAAGTCAGCATTGAAAAGGTGAAGAGTATCAGTCAAAATTTGGGTTAAAAGATAAAGCTACCTAAAGATAAGTGAACACTGGCGAAGCAGATGTTGCTCTGTATTTAGGAAGAAATAGTAACAAGTGGAAAAATACCTTTCAAGTTGGGCATGTTTTTCCTCAGCCTACAGAGATGATGTGATTTTTCTTGAGTGGTCCTCCTGACTCACTGTAGCAGAGCAGCGACTTTGATAAAAACAGAGAATTGGAATCATTGTCTTTCTTCCAACAAAGCACATCTTTTGCTAATTAGGTGTACTTAACTAAGAAAATGTGCCCGTCCTGTGAAGATTTCATCATCTTTAAACAGTAGTGTCATTGACACCCATGAAGTTTTGTCTGTCTGAGCTTTAGAACAAGATGGAGCGGGCTAGTGAAATATTATTCTTGTCTGACTACTTTACAGTGCTAAAGATAGCTTTTAGCTGTGAGAGTGATGTTATCTGCTACTGACCCAAAAGATCAGGTGACAGCCCTGTAGCCCACATTCTTGGCCACTTAATCAGCATTGTCACGGGTCAAAAAAAGGCAGGATGTTTGGGCCCTTCCTCCAACATCTGAACACAAGTCTTCACTTTTCTATTTGTGCTGCAACATGAGCAAGACAGTGTTCCTGCTTCGTATCATTATAGGAAGGGTGACTTCATGCTATGGATTATGCAGGGTGGCCTTGATATTTTATGGAATTTGAGATACGTTTACTTATTTTGTGCCAGTAATACAGAATGAATAGCACTGTCAACATCATTAATGCCTTAAATGAAAGGTAACAGCTAAATAGTTAAACACAATATATATGTAATTGGTAAGCATATATATAAGCCTATCCTAAAAACTTTTCCTTGACCTTCCAGAGGTCTTGGTCAAATACCTCTGTTTCCACATTATGACAACTATTTGGACCTCAGACCTCTCAAACCAGTAACATTCACAGTTCTCTATCAGTTTTGAATTTTCAAAAATCATTTGTCAAAAGTAGCTCAGAGATCTGGAATATTGGAAATTATTCTGGAAGAGAATGATTAGCAGGGGGAGGGCAGCGGAGCCAGTCAAGTTGGTGTAATAAATAGTGTAATTATTCGTAACTTATCATCAGGTTGTTGAATGTTTCCCCAGTGGGATATATACAAATTCCATGTTCAAATATAAAAAAAAAAACTTTGCAATGAAGGCTAGCTGTGTGCATTTCCTGTTGATGTATATATTAAAATCTAGAAAATAGTTATGACAACTTCCAGATTTTTTTTTCCTCCTTATTCCACATTTTTTACTGCTCAACTACTTCATTCTTTGACTGCTTTCAGCAGGAATAATTATATTTGTGGTATTTGTGATCTTCTGTGTTCCTAAGCTGAAGTGGGTGTATGTGGGGAGCTGTATTTCAGGTATTTCTTTGAGGCAATCCAATTCAAGAAGAGATACAAAGTATTTGTTTGTCAGTACGAAACAATCAGCAAAGTATTTCTTCTCTTGTTTTGCTAGATGCTTCTACTCCCCTTTCCAGCCCCAGCTTAGCCCTTAATGAACTCTGTCGAAGGCATTCTTGGAATCAAACCAGTAGTGAACCTGTGGGTTTTTTCTAGTGTTTTCTTGATGGTCTAGTTTGGTTTTTTTTTTGTAGTGTTTGTGGACTGTTTTCATACACGCTCCAGTACTAAAACTCAGCGAAACACAGCTAACAATTCCTGATCAGCCATGCGTGGCCTGTGCTTTCTATTGTTCTTGTTGGTTTAGCTATTCCCCAGAGCTTAACCGTTTCTTGGATTTACTGTAATTAAAGCAGAATGGCTATGTCTTCGGGGGTCAAGCACTTTTAGCCTTACTCCTACTAGAACTGTGACTGAACACCCTCACATGTCCTTCTGCGATCCACAGCACTCGGGGACTTGCTGTCTCACCTTCGCTGAGCCAACACTGGTAGCTGTGGGTACAGGCACGGAGTTTTCCTTTCCCTGAAACAAAGACAGGGTCAAGAGTTAAGGTTGGATGTATGTCTGAACACGATGCTTTACCACACCGTGTTAGAGCTGACGTTAGCTGACCAGAGACAGAATTTTATGTGTTTCTGGACATTGTGAACCTAGAGAGAAGTCGTCATTAGCATAAGCACTGGTTTAATCCTTCACGTCTGGATTTTTAGTGACACATCTAGTAGAAGACACATTTCGAAGTTGTTTACTGCAAGTTAATTACTTATGAGAATTCCTGAGGTTTTTTTAACAGTTTTGTAGTTACAAAGGTAACATTTTCAAGAGTAGCTATAGTTTCTAATTTTCAGAAGCTATTGCTGCAGCTTTTAGAGAACAAAAAATTTGCATAAATTATGCATCCAGGGAAAAAATTTAAAATAAAAAAAATTAAATTTTATTGCAACATACCCCAGGGTTATCATTGCTTTGTGGAATTAAGCTAACGTCTTCTGGGGAGAAGACTGGGAAGTTCCAGGCAAATAATAAACGAAGAGAATGCTCACAATTAAAAAAAAAAGTCTGACGTCAGGAAACACAACAATTAATGCTACTCTGCCCCCTTGCGTTAGCTTTTGAGGTAGCTGTCTTACCCCACACGTCAAAAAAGTTCGTGTCCCTTCGTGCAGATTTCATCACATAACAAGCGCATTAGCGAAAACATAACAGAGCAGCGTCCTGACAACAGAGGGCTGAGCGACCACTGGAAACGATACAGCTGTGTGCCTAAGTCTGGAGAAGACGTATTATATGTAAAAATAATACAAAATATGCGCAAATCATTCACATGTGTTGTAATTCGCATTACCACGTGGGGGATGGGTAGAGTCAAGACTTCAATTGACACGAGATTGAAGCTGGCTAACGATATATGAGAGTAGCATTAAAAACTAAAGCACCTGTGCTGGAGAAAACTGAGAACCCAGAACCTGAGCTCTTACATTTGTGTTTGCCTGCTCAAACCCTTAATTGTGCTTTTTTTTACTGTTTTAATTATAAACTCCAGGGAATAAATAGGCATCAAATTTGGCCACGCTCTCACTTGAAATAAAAATAAAGCTTTCCTTGAAAGTGAGAGCCAACAGAAATATTTCCACCTCTAGAAGTCCAATTTAGAAAGAAGTGGTTTAAAACCAACGAACACATCCTTGCAGGGTCTTGGGCACCAGGAGCCAAAGCCCCCCCAAATAAAAAAAAGATCGCGGAGCAGCTGTATTTCATAGGCGACGCAGAGAGAAACGCCAGGAGTGGCGTGCTGCGACTAATGACAGGTAACTGCCATTTTAACGGGCTGTAACTTCCATCGCTCCCTTCCTAACCCGGCCAATTAATGACGTCAGTCTCCGCTCACAGGAGCGAAAGCTGCCACCCAGCTTTTACCCGGGGGCCCGGAGCAGCCATCCCTGGGCGGGGGGATTGTCCCTTCCCACCTCCCCGGCCGCCCCGGAGCGCCGAAGGGTGGCTGCGACCCGGGGGCCGGGCCAAGGCGCTGAAGTTTGATGAGAACGAGAAGCAGTTTATTGAGGACGGCGCTGTGCCGCTGGCTGGAGGAGCCCCCGTTTACATCTGAGTGTCCTCCTCGGCACCAGCCTCTCCCCGGCAGGGCAGGGCTCGCCGTTCCCGCGGAAGCCCCAGCAGCGGCCTCGCGCCCCGACAGGCTCCCCGAATAACTGTAAAAAAAAAAACAAACCACAAGACAAAACGGTAATGAACAGCCAGCGCCTCCTTCCACCCCCACACCTCACGCTGATCCCTCCCTGTCCCGGTGCCCCCGGAGCGGGGCCGGGGAGTGCCAGGCCGCTGCCCCAGGGCCCGGGCCGGCGGCGGTCCCTTCCTTCCCTCAGGGCCCGGGCCGGCGGCGGTCCCTTCCTTCCCTCAGGGCCCGGGCCGGCGGGACAGGTACCCACAGCGGCCACAGCTCCAGCGACTGCCGCTCCGGCCGGCGGCAAAGTTCCCGAGACGCCTGGTGGAGATTTTTCCTCATTATTTATCTCCCCCCCCCGCCCCGGTTCCTCCTCCTCTCCCCCACTGTCCGGGAACTTTCGGCATCGTCCTGCCAGACACGCAGCCGCCTCCTCTGCCAGCATGAACCGCTCCCGGGGCAGCGGGATGAGGAGGTGGGGGGGTGGCGGCGGTGGCAGCTCCAGCGCCTCAGCCTCCTCAGGCGACGACGGCCGCGAGCGAAGCCCTGTCAGCGGCGCCCCACCGCCACCGCCGCCGGCGCCGGCCCGCGCCGCCTCGCCCTCTAGCGGGGGAGAATGGCGGCGCCGCCGGCTGGGCGTGACTTTCCGCGCTCCCTTTAGCCCGCCTGCCTGCCGGGGGGGACGGCGAGTCAGTCAGGGAGCCGAGCTAAACCGGGACTAACGGCGGCGCCGGGCGAGGAGACTCCGGGATTAAGGGTGCCCCCCCGCCTCCCGCCAACTAACACACACCCCCCTCCGGGCACCGGGGGAGGCGAGCGGCGCAGCAGGCGGTGGGGTGTCCGGGGCCGGCGGGGCGAGGGCAGCGGCCGGAGGAAGACAGCCCGTCCCCGGCCAGTTCGCACCCCTCTTTCCCCTGCCCTTACAGCGCAGAGAGGGGCGAGGAGGAGAAAGTAGCCCGAGTTGGGGGAGTCCGGCTGCCCCTTCTTCCCCTCCT